TTTTCTGACCATGAGGTAAATTTTACTGTACGTAGACTGTAGGAAACGAGTCTTCATAGCGAATGCCATTTTTCGAAAATAAAAGGACCAAAATTTGACTAGAAATCCTACGTCTTAAAAAGTTTCAACAGGTACCTATTGTGAAATAAAATATTGATACGTGGAAGGATATTCTGAAAGTTGTTCTCGCGGACCTTTATATAAGCTACTTGACATCAAGCAGTTTTTTTACCAACGTCTAAGGGTAATAATTCAAGTTGATCCCATAATATGCTCAAGCACCTTAGTAAAGATCAAAACTGTATGCAATATACATTGATTAATAGCCTTTTATCGCTGTACTTCTGCAACTGGAATCCACGTTACAATAAAAATAGTAATACTGCATTTTCACATTGACATACGAGTATCTGGCAGATTTAAAGCGGTACTCCATAAATCTGTATCTTATGGCTCCTTTCGCTTCTGCATTTTTATTCTCAATATCCGAGTGAAAGATAGAGCAATAAAGGCGTTTACCGACTGATATATCCTTCATATCATCCGTTATGATGAGCTGACAGCCTTATTTCCCTTAAACGAGGTCGTAGCTGTGAATAATGTCCCTGACAGCGGCTGAAGTCATCCAACCCATACTTAACATGATGTATTGTGTGATTTACGACGTAAGGAACTACTGTGGTAGAAATGGGTCACTCAAATAAGAAGCGTCATTTGTGTGATTATTTTAATTCGATGAATAAAGCTGAGAGAACTTACGAGGATAATGGAACATAGAGCGTTTACCTTGGATTTTTCAAGTGTATTCATAACAATCCTTAGTGAATGTGAAAGTGTAATAGTTCAGAAACTCGCACACAACGAAATTCTCACCTTATGCTAATATATTTAAATCTGGCAGGTTATACACATACAATAATCCAGAAACATATATAACGAAGCGGTCCGCAATGCCAAAGACCCGCACGATATAAAAATAAGGCATGGCACATTGAAAGGAGTTTCTCCCAAAGTAGCCTTCCACTGCTTACGTGCCAGAATGGACCGATTGTAACAGACTCAAAGGTTAAGTGCTTGCCAAGATCTTTGTTGCTAACTCCACCATGGACGTCCCTCCGCCTGGGAAGTAACATTCCAGCATAAGACCATAAGGCGGGTACCCTTATCGCTCGACATCAACAAATCTTCTGGTCCGGACTTGATTCCTGCCATTGGATTGAAAGGATGTGCAGTGGAACTTGCACCAGTTCTTTCGCGTCTCTTCTATATACCTCACGAATTCGGCACCTTCCAGAAAACTGGAAATTTTCTCATGCCCAGCCCATTCCAAAAAGGAGACCTAATACCGATCCTTATAACTCTGCTTTCTGTTACAAGTAAGAAGATGGAGAGGTGCACGGCTTGATTAGAGACAGGCAGTGTGGTTTTCTTTACCAGCGATCCACGTTACGCAATTAAGTAAACTCATGTACTCTTACGGTGAGGCTCATGTGGTTGCTCTTGATATCACGAAAGCATTCGGTTTGCTGTGGCATGCTACCCTCTTATTCACAGTTCCGACCTATAGCTTCCCAGAGAAGCTTTGCAGAAGGTAAGCTACGTTCTGTTTGGCTGCAAGATATCTGTCGTAATTGACGGGTTCTCCTCTTCATGCCACAACGTCAAAGCAGATATTTCTCAGGGATCGGTCTTGGCTCCAATACTGTTTCCTCTTGGTTATCAGCAACCTCCATTCCTGTACGATGAATCCAATCCGCAGCTTTGCTGATGACAGCACTCTAGGTGCCAATCTCCACCGGTGAGCTGGAAAAAAGCAGGCTAGTTGTGACTTTCTCTCTGACGAGAGACTTGGAGGTTATCACTACCTGAGGATGCAGCAACCTTGCAGAGTTCAATGTTTCCTAAACACAGTACTATACGTTGACGAACAGAAAGTGTCCTAGCGCTCATCCGAATATATCTCGTCAAGAGCGGCATCACCTGCTGGGAAACAGGTAGGTTATTAGTTTATGGCTGATAAGTACTTTTCTCCACTTTGCTCAGAGCCCGCCTCCATGATGTCGTCGCGCGATGCGTCTGACTTTGACCTCTCATCCCAACCGTGTCTAACTTCGTACATCCAGAACTAGCCGATACGACCGCTTCTATGTCCCGATGCACAGTAGGGCAGAATCCTAAAAAGCTGGCCAAAAATCAAATTTTTTAGTTGTATTCATTCGTCTACACACGTTTAGATCTTGTTTACGGATAGTCCTAGAATGAAATTCCGAACAGGGCAGGTATACACTTGCCTAGGGTCGCCTTGACATCAGTCAACATTCAGCTATCGTTCGGTACGCACTAAGCATGTGTACATGTCGAAAAATTCTGGCCTGTTTCGAAGTCCTGTAAAACAGACGAAACTATCTCAATTTGAATTGTGCAAAATGGAATCACTTTCGAAGGTAGGCAGAATATATAGTTATACACAGCTTTTGCTTATTTTATGTTTTAAATATTTAAATTTTACAACAAACAAACATAAAAAATTGTAATTTTTTTCTAAAATCGATTTTCCAAAGTAGTTTTAAAAATGTCTTCGCGAGTCTCGATCTTGTTTCTACAAGGAAGTGATAGTGTATAGCATGAAATATAATATAGTAAAAATCTGGTTGCTCAGGAGTGCTCAACGAATATAGGCTTCGATAGGCTCTTAGTAACATCCGATCCATTTCTCTCAAGCTTCAGGAAATTGCCCCAGATACCGGCGAAATCTTTACATAAAAGAAGCTCTACAATTGTTAAAACAACCTGAAGTCACCAGATAAGAGACAAGGAACGATTCCGATTTAGATACAAGTGGGTCAACATCAGAATCCGAATCGAGGATTTTTGTTACTAGAAGTAAATAACAGATATTCATTTTGTTGCAAATTTTTTATAAAAGAAATTTTTCATAAATAAAACCTAAAAATATTATAAAATATTTTCTATTTAAAAATATTAAAAAATAAAAATTTTTGCGGAATCCTCCATATATCGCGTCTGCTATTTTGAAAATTAACATTTTGATAACAAATTCATAATCAGCGATTCCAAAAACCATAAACAAATACAACTGGGTATTTTTACTGGATTATTTGACTAATTGGTTAAATTACGTATGTCCGACCAAAAAATTAAACATAATCATTATACCAGGTACAAAATTCGTGGCACAGTAGTTCCTCAACCGCATAAATCTATAATGCAGCGATCATATCTCTATTTAGCGCCTAAATTTTATGAAATTATACCTAAAGACTTAAAAGATTTACGTTTCGGAAATTGTTTCAAAAGAAATTTAAAAAAGTGGCTACATTCTATATCTAGGACTGAAATTCATAAACTCATAAATACGAACATCAACTAAATACATAATCTACTGTAGCTAATTTTTGTCCTTTTTTGTCATTTGCATTCTACAGTTTCAAGTTAAATTTATTGGTCCATGTACAGGCGATGCCTTCTATTGGGACTGTTTTGATTTTATATTTATTTACTCATATTGTTTGTTATCTTTGTACATTGAGTGAATAAATATTATTATTATTATTTTGGGTCCGCCATTTTGAAAATCGTAATTCTGATAACAGATTCATATTCAGGGACCCCAAGAAGAGAATTTGAGATCATTTACGACACTTTCTGAATTTTTTCCAGCTTTTTGGAATTCTGCCCCACTGTGCGATGGTATCGAGATTGTGGATCAATCTACAAGAGGGGGCTTTTCCCTGTTCTACTAATCTTAGGAAAATGAAAAATCGGATTAACAAAGTTACTTTGGGATCCTTATAGCAGTATAGCAGTATTTGGATTTAGGCTTCTTCCTGCGCCGCTGCTTTATTGTAAAAAAAATCTTTGGGTATGCGAACATAAGCATTTCTTGATGGGTATTATCCCAAGGTAGAATGAAATCCGTACCCACTCGTGAGATGATTTACCCAATATGCGTGCTTTACAGGTATAATGATTGGTTTTTCTGGTTCGATCAAAATGTGTATTTCATTTTGGTTGAAAATCTAGAAGGTTCTCTCATAACTTGTGAAAGTTAAACCTACATTGCCGCCGACCTTTCAAAATGATTTAAACATGTCTCTGACTGCTGAAAAATCAAAGTTTGAGGACACTCTGTAATTCCTCTGTTTCTTGCATATTACTCTGCTTCAACTGCCTTGACTTTCCTGGCAGCAGTATGACCCCAAAGCATGCCTTACTTCAAAATTAGTGCTGCACTTTCCGAGATTACGGAAAAGAGTGGCATATCTTTTTCATGTTGTAGATAGAGATCATAAAACTTAAGAATTAGCTTTTTCCTCAAATCTGCATCGGGTGTAAAATATCATGTGAATTAGCCACATTATTTTAATCATATCAGTTTGTGTGACTAATGGCTTGGTGGAAATGGTGGACGCTTCATGATTTGCAATTGAATTTTCGGAGAAAAGAGTCTGTATTCATTCAATAACTTCAACACTAGCAAGATATGTGCTATCGATGCTGAAGTAGGCGCTACATACCGGTAAGGAATAACTTGAGCTTTACAAATATTAAACTAACAACTAATTTGATGAATTTTGGTACACACATCCGACAGATAACTTCCTTTTACAGTAAAAATTCCTCCTTTCTTGAAGTTTGGAGAAATACTGTCAGATAATGTCGATACGTATTTGCCAAAGTAACGTAAGTCACCAAAAACAATTTCGGAAAAAAACGTGTTTTTAATTTAAAATGGTTAGACTTTTTCAAATTGTGCAAAATTTACCAGGGTGTTTCCCTGAGGTCTATATTTAATTGAGAAAAAAATTATTTTGAAGTTTTTCTATAGTTTTAGTGGTTAATTGATACTTACGTTACTTTACGGGTTCAGAAATCTCGAAGTCTTGATCAAAAATGTGACGTAAGTACACAGATACGTCAGTTTGACGGCAAATTGTAGTACTTAAAGTATTTTGGAAAGGATTAAAAACTATCGTTTATTATTAAAAAAAAAAACACAAAATAACGTTACAAAAGAAAATATGGAGTTCTTACTAGTAAAAAATATGTATTTTTTAAGTTTTGGAGCTTTCATCTTCATTGTCATCCTCTGCATCAGTTTCTGCTAACTCATCTGGAAGAGAAGACTTACATTTTAATTTAAAGAATTAATCGTGAAACCTGGCAGTTATGACATTGTTTTTGCAAAGTGTTTCCAAATCCCGTTTCTTTATTTCGGATATTGGAAGCAATTGTTTATAATTTTTTTCAGGTTCAGGAACTGCCTTTTCTTGCCGTTTTCGACCTTTAAACAAAGAAATACTTCAGGATAACTTGCAAATATGTATTCATTTTTTATATTTGTAGTTTATTAACAGTTTTCTGTATTTAATAAAGTCTTAATAACTCGGGAATTCCCTATACAAGGTGTCACTAAATTAGTATCAAAAAAAAAACAAGCACAAACAGAACATTAAAAAATATGTAGATGATAAATTTGCGATAAACATGGGTCCGGAAATGTTTCATTTCCGAGATACATTGTGTTGAAAATACGTTTAAAAATCAGTTTTTTTCTTATAATTCAGACAAAATGTTTTCGAAAATTTTTAAACTTTGTCGTTCTCTTATTTCGGTGGTACCCATTATGAGAAGAAAAAAATATTAATTATCTAACCAGTGGCATGGTTACTTAATACGTTGAACAGTAAAATGCATTTTTTATAATTTCAATAATTCATTATTATTGCTCACATTATTTAGAAAAAAAAGTACTGTTTCAAACTTTTTGAAAAATCAACCGTTTCTTTGTTTAAAAAAACAAAAACCATATTAGTACTAAGTAATATTGAATGAAAAATATGATTTGTCTTAACTACAAGTTTTTGTCTAAAAAATAGTAGGATACGGTGATTGTTGATTGCTAATGGCGTTAAAAATATTGATAGAAAAAAATCGAAAATTGATTATTTGACGTCATTTCAACATAATGTATCTCGGAAATTAAACATTTCCGGACACATGTTTACGAGAAATTTTTTATATGCATATGTTCTGTTTGTGATTGAAGTTTTGAATACTAATTTAGTGACACCCTGTATAAAAGCAAAAGCTTACTCAGTGTAAAACGTTCTCTGTAATGTGTAAAATGGACCAACTGACCACCCTTATCGTAGTTTAACTTAAAGCACAAATTGTACTCAGGACTGCTGCCATAATTATATTTGACCGTGACTTCCGATGATCCTTTTTGGAAAAAAGCTTGTCTTACACTATTCATTTTTAGTCTGGTTTTTGTAAGGACCAGCTGATCATCCCTTAGCTTCTTCCAATTTTTGTACTCAGAGTGCTCAAGCTTTATTACAGTATATGGCCTCGGGTTAACTTCCAATAATAGTGCTCCACTCTGAAGGGGCCCATATAACTCTATTTTTTATAAACCTTTCGATTACTGCGTGTATCGAATCAACAGGCATGTAGGTATGCCTCGGTAAAAGAAATACAATTTTGATGGTTTCAATATTTCTAGATTTTTGCAAAAATGAGTGAATCATGACCAACATTGCTCTATTCTTATTTTGTCCTGCGCAGCTATCGCAGTACAAAATAACATGTCTAATATCTCTATCTTCCAACAATTTTAGGTAAGTGTAAATGATGGTGCATATTTCGTTACACCCACGATTACCATCGGATTCACCCCACAGAAAACAGTATCCGTTTTGCGATGGCGTTTCGTATATGCTTTCGTTATAAAATGAATATTTCTAGAGTAGTATGATAACATGTTATCCCCATGGGGGGTATTCAAGACTTTCTGTAAATCAAAACTGGAACAAACTGTATCTGAGACTTCTTTGACTTTCTTTTGATCTTCTGAAAAGAGTTCTTTACTTTCTTCCGTTTCTTTTAAATGTTTGTCGTATGCCTGTTTCGACGTACTGTTTTCTTGAAATTCTTTATCTTTTCTTACAGGTTTTTGTTTCAGGGTTCAACTCTAAATCGTTATTGTTAACATAATTAACTAACGGCTGAAAATATTCTTGGACATCGCATTCCTGTTCCAATTGAACACCCACTGTCCCATTTGAGCTATCAGTACTTATTGGTACATGTATTTCTTCTTGCATAGTATGGTTACCATGATTTTCATAAGGACTCGAATTATTAGAAGACAATAAAATTGATTCATCTATTTCGATTACATCTCCATTTACTAAAGTAGTTTTTAAAATATTTTCGGAATTATCTAAATCAAAAATATTGTCACTTGAAATAATGGATATCGGCATAGGCCCGATTTCTTCCTCAGAATAAACATTATTCGATTCATCATTTTGGCTAAGAGCCGCCAAAATCCTTTTTGTTCGTGAAATGACTATAGACATAATCTGAAAGTAACCGAGCATTTATGTTTACAATGTTTCATAGCTTCTATAAAAATTAGAATAGAAACAAATACAACAGTCTTTCTCTAACTTCAACCGATTCATTCCTGTAAATTTCTCACAGGCTTCGAGGTTACGACAGAATAACTTCTAATAAATAAACGAAATTAAATACGAAATGGGAGTTTTATAGTATTAGTTAAGGTTTTAATATTTTTAAATTCTAACTACAAAAAAACGTTTTTCTAACTTCAACCGATTCATTCCTGCAAATTTCTCACAGATTTTGCGGTTATCACACAATCATTTGTAATAAATGAACGAAACTAAATATGAAATGGAATTTTATATGTCGTTATTATTTACTTACCTAAAATCAATAATTATTCGATGGTAGCACGAACCTAACACTGTCGTAAGCCAAACACTGACTGCGAAAATCTAACGTAAGTCGCAGAAACCGACCGGGACTTACGTTATTATGGCGGTAAAAAACGTTAGCTTGGGTATGATTTAAAAAATTCTGGACATACGTTTTCAAAAAAGTTAAAAATAAAGGTTTAAAGTAAAATCTAGGCTTCCTACACTTTGGCAGTACCTTCTCAACAATAAAAGCCTTACGTTAATGGAAAAACATGATTTTCACCAAAAATGTCACTTACGTTACTTTGGCAAAAATGCAACGATGTTAACTAATAAAGAAAGCTGATTATCAAACAATATCCCCCTTGTAGTCATCCCTAGGTTTCTGAATTTTTGTACTTGCTTTGTTAATGAGTCGTAAGTAATTTCGGTAACTTGGATATTGGTTTTTAACCTGCACACACATACTTGAGTTCAGTTGAATAATCTGTATAGCTCGTCGAAGACAATTAAATGATCAACATTCAATATTACACAAAATGAGGTAGATTATAAATTTATCTCCACAGCTAAGAGTTAGGTCGAACTGAGTTTTAGTGAATAGAACGCACAATAAACTAAGGAAATCGAAACGAGGTAAGCGTATCTGAGGTTGTGGGTAAGACAAACGCAACGTTTGTTTACTGATTTATCTGAAGACTCTGAGGAGATCGAGCTATTGCCGCACTTACTGAAATCATCAAGTGTTTGCAATTTTTTCTGAAAAAACCGCACACCCATAAAGCAATGTACCATCAGTTTTGTCAGTCATGGCTTGGGGGAAAGGTTAGGAATTGATTCACAGCACCTCAAGTAGCGTTATTTATGCTGAAATTAATTGTTGGGGACCTCATAGCTCTATTATTTTTAAGGTATCTCAATATTTTGTAGGTGTAACTCAGTTAAATTATACAAACTGGCAAACAATTCAAAAGTGTTTTTCAGAGCACTGACGTGTTTATCAAACTTATCATTAAGTGAATCATAGGTTTTAAAATAGCGATTGAATACATTTAAAACAACTTTTTCGCTCTATAATGGTTTGGCCGCTATCATCCGCAAATTATGCCAAGTGGCCTATCCTCTATTTGGCATCATTCCAAAATAATCTCCCTGAATAGTCACATAAACTGTTAAACAGAAAAGTTATGTGGAGTCAACTGAGTCCTCGGACTACTTAATCAAATGTCTAAAAGCAAAAAGACCTGTCTTACCTTACGCTCTCAAGCTTTGAATAAAAGTGGCTGGATTTCCAACCCAATGAGCACTTGACTTCTTTCTCCATGATAATCTTCGAGTGGAAATCGCGTTTGTGAGCTAGGCCAGGTCGCCTTTATAGGAAAATCCATAAAAAGGTGATTTCGAACGATGAACCCATCGGCAAGGCATGGCACATTGCTAAGTTCGATTCATAGTATAGGATCAGGTTGACACCAATATGCTCCATGTCCTGAATATATCTGTACTTATTTGACTATAACAGTATTGCACAAGGGTCGCGCCAGAGTTCATACGATAGCATTTCTCTTTTCCGCTTTTCGTTTATACATGATTGGATACATATGTATATTAAATGCACTCCTCGTTAAAAACGTAAAGCTATTAGGAATGTGTCATTATTCTATTAAATATGGGTACCTAGAGATGTTTGAGTCTAGATGTAATTTGGAAATCAAAATTCTTTACGAAAGGGCTTATTTAAATGATATATAGATCTGGATAATTACACCAAGCGATTCCAAATTTGCTATAAATGAAAGAGCATGTCGAGCGATATTATGTGACGATGTACTTTAACAGCAAGTTATTGTAGGATATCCTTCCTATTTAAAACAGTTTACTGCACTCACTTCCAGTGATAAAAAAGGGGTTCATTATGCGAAATAATTACCTTATATTTTCATAAATCGCTGGAGTAGCAACCAAGATGAACGTTTGAATCACTGAAAATGTCTTAATTAATTTTTTTCATTAAATATATTCTTTCACTAGCGGACCCAAATATCTTCATACGATGATATTCCTTTAGACCTGGTTTTTATGGTATCATCAAATTTCTTAAATATACATAACTTCTTACCATGCTTTGGACCATCCTTACGGATGCTTTGGTTTCAGCACTCTGTTTTTACAGCTTTCAACGTATAATTCGATAGTGTACATATTATCTTCCGACATCTTCTTTCATTCTAGTGAATTTGATATAGTTTTTGATTCGCCTGCTATAATTTTCAAAATCCTATTGAGATTTAATAATTGCTTACTTTAATCCACCGGTTTGGTTCCAATAACCCATTTCCTAAAGAATTTTGATTTTTACGTTAACTGTAGAATTAAGCATTTGTAACTACTCATATTCAAGAATATATAGATAAATTTACAATAGCTTTAGGTTTTCACTAGAACAGCGATACTTTAGCTTCGACTAGGTACGTTTGGTAACTGGTCTGATGGGGGTACGAAATTCGTAGTTCTAGTGATGCACTACATTGACGGCTAAGCTATGCGTGACTGTTCATCATATCCTAGTGACTATGATATGATATATGTATATCCGAGGACTACTTTTATAAGTTAATGACACCATCTAGTACAAAAATGGATGTTTTTAAGACCGTCAAAAAATATTCTGCAAAAACGACATAAATGCTAACATCTAAGTAGTCAAAGTATCGACGTTTCCGCAAAAAGCACATATTTCTGTCCCCTGATGTTCATCCAAATACCGCGCAAGTCAGCGACATAATAGGACATGTGTGCTTTTTGCAGAAAATTTAATCCGTTATTACGTAATTAGATTGTTCTTTTTTGAAATAAAGGTAATATTTTTCTAACTTCGTTTTTTTCTTCTTACAAATACAACTTATCTCCAACATGTTTTAATTGTTTTTATTTGATTACTCAAGCACACATATTTTTATAGTGAAGAGCATATTTTTTAAGCTATTATTAATAGTAATTAACAAAAAAGTATTCAATAAAATTATTAGGTTTGAAATAAATCGTTTTTATTTTTCCTGATAATTTTGTATTTTGGACATATGTTATGTTGTTTCTGTGAAATACGCCTCAAATATTCTGACTCATATATTGAATATTAAAAAAGTGTACCGGCTCGGTATAAGTGTTGCGTAGTCTATGGAAACTCATAATAAAGCCAAAGGTTGAATTCTAATTACGATTTTATGTTCATTTATTTAAACTTTTGTTTTTCTTATCAGCGCAGTAACCCAACACTTTTATTTTTATGTTTTGTATCTCAGTGACATTTGATGCATTCGTAAAAAGTAGTAAGTTGAAAATCTGACAAAATTGCGAACTTTGGGAGAACAATCCAATATTTATTTTGTTCATTATTCAACTGAGAATTTGAGCTATTTCCAAGGGAAAAACTCTTCTTATTTATCCTGGTCCTTTCATATCGTGTCACGCGGCCCTCATTGTCGATAACCTTAATTTCACAAAATCTGATCAAATATGCAATTAGCTATTAGAGGATGCCGACATTCATTTAAAAGAAGGCGGATGAGGTCACTAGCATACTCGTATATCTCATCCGTCATCTCGTTTTTATGGCACTACAATAGCTCTTAAGATATTCTTGTTTCTTAAGGAACTGTGCAATACAGAAATTAACTGATTCAACTTCCTTGTTCCACTCACACTTAAGCATGAGCAATCGATCTTTTAGTACACACTAGGGAGTTTATCGCAGCTCTCAGGCGGATGTCACATGGTTACTATGAACGTGATGAGTCAGTATTTATAGTGTTATATTTGTTAACCATTCACTCAGGACGTCAGTAGTTACCGATTTATAAGATTAATAAAAAATCCACTGAGACTGACGCTGATGAGGCTCCGAATATTGCAGGCGATTTTTTAGTAGTGGACTTTAAGCTATTACTGTCAGAAACGAAATGACAGTGCGGCCTGGTCGGAGAAATAGATTTGCTTGTGGTGTAGATTGTAATATTAGTAACTGTGTCACTTAGGACACATCAGAGATTATTTGTACCAATGGTAGAAGAAGACAGTTGCCTCGTACTAGGATTAAAACAGAAATTTATAAAAGTGAGGCGCCATCCTCACTAGTCGAGTCAGGAGACCAAACAGCATACATATCCCCTAAAATCTATCCATAAATGAGCAGTTTATTTGCGTGAGCATGGGCGATCTTTTTGCATCACTCTGTGGTATACTATACTATGATACCGACTCCCTAATTCATCGGAGTCCCAAATTTCGTGTCTCGTGAGAACCAAGTATGATTACACTCGTACATTAGTCGCATTTTGTTCCAAAAGCAAGATTTTGGTAAATTAAGTAGGTATGTGGTATTGGGATGTCCGATGCAACATTTGTTAGCGGCTGGAATCGCAGCATTGTAGGGACCGCCAGCGAAAAAAAAACTGGCAGCGTCATCCATCGGCGACCAGCGAAACTGCGACACCTAGAACTTTTACAAGAGATTCCATTACGCTAAAATTTTCTATAGGAGGCAAACACGCGAAAGAGGAGACCCATTCTGTCGTGAGTGAATCTTCAAAGAGTATATGACTTAGACGAGGCTTAGATCTACATTTGTTAAGAACTAGTGATGCCGTGATGAAGTTAGAATGCTCTTTAGTAATAAATTATTTGTTAGTGGTTTAGTTACAGTATAATTGAGGGGACCAATGCTAGTACCAGTCAAGTCCATTTTTTAAAGTTTTACAGGAGAGCAAAAAAAATTTCCGGGCTTGACTTGTTTATGCAACGTTTGAGAAAGCATTCAAACACAAATACATTTATCAATTGGTCATTTTTAGGGTCTCGTTTTTCTACAGCCCGATAGAATTTTAAACTGGGCAAAAAGATGATGTTAACAAAATTTTCCCAAGGGAATGGACTTGGCCGGTTCTTGCATTGGACCCTTAAATTGCTCTCTATGATCTTGAAACCTACAAATCGTGCTAACGAAATGCAGTTGTAGTGGCTATATAAGGTATGTTGCGTCCTCTCCATATTTTACTCGAGGAATCCACGAATAGAGCCTTTATCGATATTGGTCTTTTACAGGACAATAAAATATGTTACACCTCTTTGGAAAAGAGTTTCATTTGTGGCTTTACGCTCCTATATCAGCCATGATATCCACTTGGTTTGAATTAGAGGATTCGCCATGTGCTCTGTATTTTGGACTATACTATAAGCTGGTGCCGTGACTGTAGTCAACTTCCGGTTACCGGTAGCTGTGCCGGTGTGGCGGCGGACTGCAGTGAGTGTTGTAGGTGGAAATGCCAAAGTCGGTTGTTGA